TTTCAGCTCTGGAGATCAGCGACCTGTTGAAGCATTTGAACTGTGCCAAGGCAGCTGGATCGGATGACATTCCTCCTCTGCTCCTACGCCTCTGTGAGCCTGCCGCTGCAGGTCCCATAGCGCGGATCATTAACGAGTCCTTGAGTACTGGAATGGTGCCAGACGTCTACAAATTGGCTACAGTGTGTCCTGTCCACAAGTCAGGGGACAAATCTGAAGCGTCGAATTATCGCCCCGTTTCACTTTTGCCGATTGTTTCTAAGATCCTTGAGAAGGTAGTACATCGGCAAATGATTCGGTTCCTTCAAGATCACGCTGAGCTTCGTATTCTCCCAGACGAGCAATTCGCCTACCGCAGAGGGCACTCCTGTGAGGATGCGTTAACTCTCGCAGTAAACCGCTGGATGATGAGTGTGGACAAGGGCGAGTATTGTGGGGTTGTACTCGTGGACATGAGCAAGGCCTTCGATCGGGTACGCCATGAACTACTACTTAACGAGCTTCAAGCTATTGGCATAAGCGGAGTAGCACTACAGTGGTTCTCCAGCTATCTCCAGGGTCGACGACAACAGGTGAAAATTGGAAATAACAGAGGAGACGAGACACATTGTACACGAGGCGTTCCGCAAGGGTCGGTGCTGGGGCCTCTGTTATTCTCTTTGTACGTGCGACATGTCCCTGGAGTACTTCACCACGCAGAGTCCCAACAGTATGCTGACGATATCGCCTTTTATATACACTGTCAGTCTACTGGAGAACTTCAGCACAAGTTGACAAGTGAGTTGAACAGACTAAATACGTACCTTGGAAGCATTGGTCTCATCTTGAATGCCCAGAAAACGAAGTTAATGGTGCTTCGGAAGAAGGCTCTGCCTCTTCCGCCGGATCTTACCATTGCATGCGGTGGTGTCGATATTCGACCTTCTGCCACAGCGCGTTATCTTGGCCTCATTATTGACCAACACCTCACCTTTGAGGATCAAGTCAACCATGTATGTACATCTGTTTATAAGAAGATAGGAGCATTCCGCCGCTGCCGCCGTACTGTAGACCACACAACTAAGCGAATATTTTATTTATCCCTCATCCAATCCACTATTGAATACGCCAGCAACTCGTATGCTCACTGTCTTACACCATCTTTATACTCTCGCCTTGTTACTTTAAGTCATATCAGCATGAAAAAGGTTTTTGGTCTCCCTCGCCGTACCCCGACTGTCTTTGTTTTGCGGCACGCTAAGTTATACTCCCTCGAATCTCGTCTCAACTTGAGGCTTTTTATTTTTGTTTTCCGCTGTATTCATCAGCTTACAAGTCCTCTTCTTTCCTCAATGTTCACCCTCCAGTCGGCTGCTACTTGCACCGAGAGGCGCACTAGAGGGCAATCATTCTCTTCACTTTCTTTGCCCGCTGCTACCACTAGATATGGCATGTTCTCTATTTCTTTCCTTGGCGCTGATAGGTGGAATTCTCTGCCTGTCTCGTGTCGTTAGGTTGAGCATCTATCCGTTTTTGTTTCGCTCTGCAAAGAGCACTTAGGGTTCCCTGTAACAAGACGGCAACGTCTGTAGGGCCTTCCCTATCAAAATAATAAATTCTACTACTACTACTAGTACTACTACTATAGCAAAGTCACACCTAAAAAATAGAAATCTGATGTCAACTTACTACTCCCTGGCCGTTTTTGACGTCATCACTGTGTGTACAGTGCCCACTCACCACTCACTGCCCACTGCTGACAGTAGCTAGCTACGTCATTATGTACTCACTCTCACAAGTCACATGATCACAGTCTCAGACGATCGAACGGTGATTCCCCGCTGTTTTCCTGTCATCACTACAGCTGTGTCAGCTGATAAGAGGGACATAGTGACGTAAGGCTGTTTGAAACGTTGAACGTTGGCAGATCGACAAACGCTAACGACTAACGCCAGTAACGCCTCGATCAGCCAGAAAATTATTTGAATGCCCCTGTAAACATGGTAAACAAATGCCATTTTCGTTTCTCAAGGCGATGAAGCGTTCCTTCGGATCGGCTGAAGTGAAGCGGGAGATCGATGCGAAAGTCTCTCTCAAACGGACGCGAATCTCCGAGCCGTTCTTGTCTTTGTGTCCTCACACTGCCGTCTCTAGTTTAGGCGAGTCCAGGTCTGTTCACTTCAGGTCTGGAGGGTCAGGGGCCAATACTACCGGTAGACCAAAACTCAACTAGCGTGCCAGAACAAGCACCAGTCCTGTGTTGAGATCAGCTTCACCAGTGCAGTGTCGTCTCTACAGCAATGCCACGTGGTTCACGTACCATCTGATCTGATCTATCTAGATCTGCAGCGTGGCTATCACTGCTATCAAGAGTAGTGCACTCTTGGCAGTCTTGCTGCTAACGGCATTATGGACGAGGAGCACTGCATGTGGCTGCAAAGGAACCACCACCACCTGGCGAGAAACATGCCTGCGGAGGCTATGCTCGGGGAGCTAGCGAGTACATACGTGTTCGTGCAGGGTAGCGAGGAGTACTCCCGCATCGCACTCAGCGATGAGTACACCCAATCCGAGGCGCTGCTCCGGGAGCTGTGCGGAAAGAGCACCAATGCGTTTCTGTACTTCATTCGCGCCGTGCGGAAAGTCTGTCCGGACCTGCTGACCGGGTGCGAGCCAGCCGAGGACACGCAGCGATATGTGGTGGAGGTGTTGAATGATTCCGATAAAGCTGCACTGATTGCAGCGTTGAAAGAGCTCGTTCAGTACAATACCAGGGAACTTGATAGGAATATTAGCAGCAGCAGCAGCAGCAGCAGCAACAGCAGCAGCAGTGACGATGATGTTGCAATGGCGACAGAAGCATAGTACATGTGTTTGTGCTGTGCAGTGAAACAGTGCCGGGCGTTATGATAATGTCAACCGTCTATCTGCTAGTCTTGAGTAGAGCCTTTCTTGCGTGGCCGTGGACGCACAGTGCTTGACGGAGCAGGAACACTGTGGAGGGCGCATGGCAGAGGCCAGTGTGCCATTGCTCAACTGGACGCAGCTGCGATAAGCCGGGAATCTTACTCATGCTCGCTGTAGAGCCCAGTCAGGAAACGCCAGAGAAAGTCTGCCTTGATCCTCTGCATGCACGACGTCACGAACACAAGCACTGGCACTATGTATGTGTGTGCACCAACATGTACTCGTATGCGCCAAATGCTGCACATGGACAAGCGAATCCATCATGTATGAGCCGAATGCTGCACATGGACAAGCGAATCCATCATCACAAGTACCGCGCTGCTGCATGGCGTTTCGTCACCATCATGGCACTTTCATGTGTACCGGCATACATTGGGATACTAACGTTACAGTGCACTGCCCTTGTGGATAGTCAAACGGTGACTGAGATCACGGTCAGGGTGCTCAACGGTGGAATGCTCAGGCCCATGCCTCAGTAGTACTCTCAGCATGCCGTGACAATTCTGGCTCTTGCGCTGGTGTAGGATAGTGTAACAGACACTCTTGCAACATTCAGTTCTACTTCACAAAGTGAGACTAATAATAGACAAACTGATCCTCTCCCCTGTTTGCAGTCTCCACCGTCCACTTAGAAAACTGACGGAACGGAGGAGCTGTATCGGTTATACTGAAGTCTTGTGAGTCACTATTTTTCATAATTTTAGGCTGATGATCATGCGGCTCACTGGCATAATAAACATTAGGAATCGTACTAGTCTAGCTCTGAAAAAATATCTGGCTCAGTCTCCAGAGATTGTGTAAAACTTGATAACTGCACGGCTCAATTTCATCTATCATATGCATCCCCGGTGCCAGCCGTTGAGACTTTCCAACAACCATTGTTGGATGATGCATGATTTCACTTGATTATTGATACTTCACAATTTCTTATTATTGAACACTTGAAACTGATCCGAACAGTGCCCAATGGTGCACGCGGCTTCACTGAGGCTCAGCGGCTCTAAGTGAGGCAGGTCTCCTGCTCAGCATGGTTTGCTGGGGAGAAATTCTCGTGACGTCGAGTGATGTGATCAGTTTGCCAGTGTGTGATTTTTCTTCAAGGCTCAGTCTGTGTGTGTGTGGGGGGGGGGGCATCCATGTGTGTGTGTGTGTGTGTGTGTGTGTGTGTGCCGACGTGTCCTTGATGCCGTTAATTCTTTTTCAGCACCTTGTCCTCACCCACTTACAGCGCCGGGTGTGGCGAGCCCAATTGAATAATCTTTTCGAGATTCCATTTCGAATCCCTTTTCCCTATTTTGGGGAGACTCACGTGACCAGTTTTTGGCAGGGCCCAGGTTCAAGTGTGTGTGTGTGTGTGTGTGTGTGTGTGTGTGTGTGTGTACATGTGTGCGCGTGAGTGTGTGCCGGCATGTGTGTGTGTATGTGTGCTGCCGACGTGGCATTCGTAACTGGTTGGGAGGGATTTCAGTGCGGTACCAGAAGATAGGCACTGAATGACGGTGAGGTTCTATACCGCCCGTTTGGGTGACCACAGAGAGTGAAGCCGGGCTTCTACTGATTCTGATGATCTCAGTAGCAGCCTGAGAGTCAACAGTATGACCTTACTAACTATAGCGGCAACTGTACCACTAAGCCGGGTCGGACCGGCAGTTCTTTTTTTTAAAGTTTTTACTGCACTCACTCACTCAGGACCCTGATGACCGTAGGCTCTGATGTGTAGCAAGTCCATTTATGAAAACAATACTGGAAGTCACGAGTGATAAAATCATTCATACGGTAATCATCATGGTCGTGCACTGAGTGCAGGCAAGACTAGACGGAAATGTCTACATGAAACAAACCAGGGGCAGGGTTTCGTGAAAAACTTGACGAAAGTTACCAGTAGTCGACACTGGGTACGGCGTGAGCTCAAGACTGACAAGATCAGAGAGAAGAACTGCTCTCCTCGATCCTCCTGTCTTGATTTTGGACTTGCACTGCTGCATGCATGCATGCATCGTTGCGTTGGTAACTGGTTACTTTTGTTTTGAGGTGGCCACCAGGGGAATCCCCGACTCGCACAGAAAGTTCCTTTTTTGTGTGTCAAAAATAAAGCGAGGTGAAAAGTGCAAGTAATAGTTCAAAAACGAAGAACAGTAGAATAATACGAAGTCATGTAGTTTCTAGCTCACCCAGAGCAGAGAGTGCGTCCTTGGGACTATCCTCTTGTGTCTTGGTAGCTGGTACACGAGGGAAGAGTGGCAAATACTCGCCTCGCCCGCAGCATGATCTTGTTCGCAGCTGCAGAGCCGTCGTAGATATTTTTTACTCATCTCTGAATTGTGTATTGAGTGGACGTGCGAAAGCAGATGGAGAGCATGGACGACCTAGTGCTGGACACATTGTCGAAAGCTGCACCTGGTACTAGCTTGAGTACGCTGCAAATTGCTCGCAGTGCAGGAGTTCAGTCCAGGGCTGAGATCAACCCAACTCTGTATCAGCTGCAGGCGGCTGGAAAGGTGGAGCAGACCTCCAGCAGTCCAGCAATGTGGCGGATACTAGCACACGAAGCTGCAGTCAGTTCTCGAAGCAACGCCGATGATGACACAACTAGCACTGATCCAGGCCACTTTGCAAGCTACACAGACGGTGATGCATTGGCGACACGGAACGATCCTGCTGCAGCGGATGATATGTACAGCACCGGGGATGCTCTGAATGATACCGGCACTGCTATGTCTACAAGTAGTGTACAATCACAAGTTGTTGTCGAGCAGGAGACTGGCTCAACAGCTATTGCTCACACTTCACATGATGTGTCACATGATACGTCACACGATACGTCACATGATATATCACAGGGGAACGCGAATCATTCTGGTGAAGACATCATGGACGGTGTTGAAACAGGCGCAGCATGCACTCACGAAGAGCACACCGCATCCATGACATCACCCACGATGTCATCGCCCGACGCTGCACAGACTGCAGAGCCGGCCAGTGATGTCGTCCGTTTCATGAGCAGTCGTGGAGTGGCATGCTCGACTCTGGAGATAGGCAAGGCTGTTGGCCTGGGTACGAGAGCTCAGATAAATCCCATCCTGGCAATCCTGGAAGAGAAAGGCGTAGTAGACAAAGTGCAAGATTCACCAGCCATGTGGAAACTACAAGGTTTAAACCCAGCTGGTACAACCGCAGCTGTCCCTCGTGAAGACATGTATACGGATGCGGCACCTCAACCAGCGAATAGACCGATGCCGGATAGACCGATGCCGGATAGACCGATGCCGGATAGACCGATGCAGGATAGACCTATGCCGGATAGACCGATGCAGGATAGACCGATGCCGGATAGACCGATGCCGGATAGACCGATGCCGGATAGACCGATGCCGGATAGACCGATGCAGGATAGACCTATGCCGGATAGATCTATGCCGGATAGACCGATGCCGGATAGACCGATGCAGGATAGACCGATGCAGGATAGACCTATGCCGGATAGACCGATGCAGGATAGACCTATGCCTGATAGACCTATGCCGGATAGACCGATGCCGGATAGACCTATGCTGGATAGACCGATGCCGGATAGACCGATGCAGGAAGCGAATGTGCCTAGCAGTTCGTCACCCGTCGCGGCCATTATGGAGTTTCTGAGGACTTGCTCGCGCCCCGCTTCTTCCCTGGAGGTGGGTCGCTCGGTGGGCCTAACACTGCGTAGTCAGATCAACCCGCTGCTGGAGGACCTGGCTGGCCAGGGAATGATCAGCAAACGACAAGACATGCCTGCCATGTGGTCCCTGCCACAGTCCTCACCGGCGCCTGTTGGCGAGCCCATCCGCACCGACACACGGCCTGCTCCGCTTGCTGCTCGCTCTGCTGCCTCGTCTCTAGAAGACCAGCTGCTTGATGCTCTGCGCCAGAAAGGCTCGCTGTGCAGTACGCTGGAGCTGGCGCGCGCCGTTGGCCTGAAGACGCGGGCAGACGTCAACTCCAAGCTCTACGCGCTCAAGAATTCGGGTAGCGTCGTACTCGTTCAGGAAATGCCGCCGATGTGGAAGCTCGGAGCCTCTAGCACTGCACCGTTTGCGGGAAATGCGCTTGGCAGCGTTTCCCGTGCATCGTCGTCATTGTCTGCCACTCCGTCTTCCTCTTCAGCACCGCCACGCACTGAGCAGGCCATCTTGGAGTTCCTGCAGGGCTCAGGCAAGCCATGCTCATCGCTGGAGATTGGCCGCGCTGTCGGTCTGGGTACGCGCAGTGCCGTCAATCCCGTCCTGTACGCCATGGCGGCGCGCGGTGCCATTCGCAAAGTGCAGGATAGCCCGCCAATTTGGGAACTCAGCTCATCGTCATCACCAGCAGTGGCACCAGCACCACATACTGGTCACACGAGACCACCAATGATGAGTCATGCTGCGCAGAGTAGTACTCGCAGTGGCCGTGTGTCCACCCACGACGGGATATTGGAGTTCCTCTCGTCCCAGCGCAAGCCGTGCAGCTCATTGGAGATTGGCCGCAGTGTTGGCTTGAACACTCGACAGGAGATCAATCCCATCTTGGAAGCAATGGCTGCCGATGGCCACCTGAGGAAGACACAGGATATGCCGACGATGTGGGCACGGAACAATCATGAGCCGCTGGCCAAGCGGCCCTATGTGGAAGCAATGCGTGATATGTCCGTGAAGCAGCCAGCCACTTCGGCGTATGGCCACCAGCGCGCTCCTTTGCCAGGGATGCCAGCATCTCAACCGCGACCGCTGGGACTGCGACCTCCTGCACCCGCGCCTCCACCATCAGCAACACCATACAGACCACCACCACAGCAGCAGCAGCAGCCGCAGGGTGCACTGCCAGCACTCTCCACCTCGATGATGTCTGCCATGAACAAGAATCCGGTGAGTGCTGTTGTGGAGTACGCTCAGTCCATTGGTGTGGAGTCCTCGTTCAATGTGGTCAACAGTCATGGACAGGCACACAGGAAGAAATTCACCGTAGCCGCTGTGGTTGGCCCTGACCGCTTTCACGGCACCGCCACCAACAAGAAGGATGCCAAACGCGAGGCGGCCGAGGCGGCTCTGCGCGCAATCCAAGCTGGCCACCTGACCTCACAGCGTGGCAGTGGTGGAGGTGCTGCTGGTCGTGCTGGTGTGGCATCAGCCATGCCTGCTGCACCTGCGGGGCATCAGCGAAACAGCAGTGGCCATCACGGCGGAGTACATGCGAGTGGTCCGAACACCGCCGCAGTGCACGGTGGAGGCATGTCGACCAACCAGCGGATGGGAGCCAGCGTGGACGTCGCTTCCGGCATGCCGCAGCGCCTGCTCTCGGCTCGGGGAGCGTACCCCGACATGCTGGCCTCGATGAGCCACCAGCTCTTTGACCAGCTGGCAGTGACGTGCGATGCGGGCCAGCCGGGCCGCAAGGTGCTGGCCGCGTTCGTCATGGTGACCGAGGACAAGGAGGCGCGCGTGGTGTCGGTGGGAAGCGGCACACGCTGCGTCACCGGACAGCACCTGAGCCTGGAGGGACTCGCCGTCAACGACTCGCACGCCGAAATCGTGGCGCGCCGCTCGCTGCTGCGCTTCCTGTACGCGCAGGTGGTGCGCTTCAACGCCGGCGACAACGACACCTGCCTGGAGCCGTCGGCTCAGCGCGGTGTGCTCAAGCTGAAGCGCCAGAACAGCCTGCATCTGTACATCAGCACTGCGCCATGCGGTGATGGCGCGCTGTTCTCCAAGCGCGACGCGCAGCACATGGCCGCGCAGCCGGAGACCTGCGCAGTGCACAGCGCCACGTTTGACAACAAGCAGCAGGGAGTGCTGCGAACAAAGGTGAGTGCCAGATTCCTAGCCCGGCTACTCACGAGTCACCATATACTACAGTTGCGCTCGTTGAAATCCGACCCAGAGTGCATATCTGAAGCCGTCAACTTGCACGGCCCTTGTCGTCCTGGAAGTGGCGCGGCTGCGGCTGGACAAACACGTCCTAATACACGTGTACAAATACAGTTATCTAATCGGAACTGGTCCGGGGCGCGCCAGCTTTGCACTTTGGGTCTGATTTTAACTGAAAGAACTGTGTCGAGATGGCAGAACGCATAACGGTAATACAGTCGTCCCTCTCTAATCCAGCACTTTATAAATCAGCACCCTCCATAAACCAGCACAATTTTCAGTAGCCGAAATGTCCTCTTCATGCACATTGCAGCAGTAAATCCGATTTGTTAATCCAGCACCCTCCCTAATCCAGCAGATTTTCGTGGCACAAATGGTGCTGGATTACAGGGACCACTGTAAATAGAGCCTCGTGCTGCTCTGTTGTATTGCCATCTTCACAATAGAACAGGCAACGTGGAGACAATACTCGTGAAATCACACTGAGTAAAATAATGTGTGCACTCATGCTGTAACCCATACCCATCCAGAAGTTAGTAAGAAAGGGTTTGGGAGCACTGCCATGGTTTTAACGTTAACCCGCACGTCATTTTGTTCATTGCAAACCTACATATCAGCTGGAGATTCTAATTTTGGTTTCAATCTCTCTCTCTCTCTCTCTCTCTCTCTCTCTCTCTCTCTCTCTCTCTCTCTCTCTTCTCTCTTTCTCTCTTTCTCTCTTCTTGTCAATGCATTCGACAGGTGGAGATGGGAGAGGGTACGATACCAATCAGCCATGACGACGCACAGCAGACCTGGGACGGCGTCATCCGCGGCCAGCGTCTTCGCACCATGTCCTGCTCCGACAAGCTGGCGCGCTGGAACGTGCTCGGCCTGCAGGGTGCACTGCTCTCGCACTTTATGGAGCCCATCTACATGTCGTCGCTGACCCTCGGTGCCCTATACGACGCTGGTCACTTGTCCAGAGCCGTTTGCTGTCGTGTCGACGGGGCTAAGGAGACGTTGCCCATTGGCTACCGAGTGAACCACCCTGTTCTGAACCGCGTCTCCGTTGCCGACCAGATGCAGCGCTCCACAGAGAAGACGAGCGACAGCAGTCTCAATTGGTGCTTGGGCGATACGAATGCCGAGCTGACGCACGGACCGCACGGACGCATCCCGGGAGCGAGCGGTCACGATGGTGCACCTCGCGTTTCTAAGCGACGCCTGGCAGACCTGTTCGTCTCTGCGTGCAAGGCAGCCGGACGGGACGACCTTCTCGCTGCTGCCACGTACCAGGAGGCCAAGAAAGGCGCTGGCTCATTTCAGGAAGCCAAGCGAGCACTCATCACGCACTGCCGTCGAAAGGGCTACGGCCCATGGGTTCACAAGCCAGTAGAGCAGGAGCAATTTCCCCTGCCGTCTGCTGCTCCACAGTGACTTCTAGCCGCAACCTGTACCTCCGCAGCCCGATAAAAAGAACTGTGGAAATGTGTGGTCAATGGGTGCACAAGTCAGTAGAGCAGGGGCAGTTTCCCCTGCCATCTGCTGCTCCACAGTGAATTCTAGTCACAACATCCGCAGCCCGAAAAAAAGAACTCTGGAACTTGTTTTCTGCCTGCTATTAACATACCAGGACTGTCTCTGATCAGAGCTGTTTATGTGCAGCCCACTGTTCCTATCTTCTCTTTAGTCCAGGAAACAGACAGCTGTGTATCCGTGTGGTCTTGGCCCTTCCAAGCCCATATGGCTGTGTTCATCTTGATAGCCACAGCACATCAACAATCACTGTACTGCTGTTGATCACGTCTCTACTCTAGCCGGTTCCGTTCCACTCTCGAGCTACACACATTTTCGCAATTTGCCAGTCGCCAGAACACCAACACTGATTTTTTTCTCCGCCCATTCTTTCTTGCTGGCACAGGGCGCATGGCCACTGAATACTTCTCTGGATGTTGTTGAATATTTCGACATTTCTTACAATACATACTAATGCTACCAAGAGAGTTGAATCTCAAATGAGGCAAAACACCTCTCCTCCTCCTCTGTACTACAAAAGAGGGGTCGAAAGCACACACAACTCATGTGTACGAGTACATTCAGTCATGCTGTAGCCTGTAACCGTGTGACGCTAATTCTCGCATCTAGTATGCATACACGGAGTTCTGACGAGTATTGATAGCAACCTACTCAGGAGCTGCTGCATACATGTACCCCTCTTTGAAGTTATCACTCCGGTCTCTTGCATGGTGCATGACTGTACTATGCCAAGAGTACATATTAGGCAAGAGTGCACAACTCCACTTGGTTTGGCCCACGGTGGAATTTTGTGGTGACGTCAACTTTTCTGGAGACAATGAATAATACTGTACGATGTATGTATGAGTCTGTGGCCGCGTGCACTTCACTTGGCCGGGGTTCAATAAAACCAAGAGTACATAAACCTAAACATGACTGTACTCTTGCTAAAGCCCACAGACTGCGAGTACGTGTACAATGAAAAGCTACAGCAACGGGAGAAAAGGCCAAACACAAACTTGTGATGGTCGGCACCCATTGCTTGCTTTGGTACTGTAAGACATGTTATTATAACGAGTCGCAAATTTAACGATTGTCCAAAATTCATAGGTTAACGAGAAGATATGTTAACGATCTTGCAGTATTCTGCCATATCCACACACAGCATATATGAAGCAGCACGGCCTCAACGGATCTTATTATAACGAAGAAATGTCATCCGTTAAAACGTTAGATTTGCTTCCTCGTTATAATAATTATACATGTCTTACAGTATACGTACATCCAGAAGAACGTAACAACAGACAAACAAAAAAACTCCACCGTGGACCAGACCAGCTGCGGAGTTCCACATGCTCGTTTATGAACTCTTGCTACAACCTCTGGTACAGGCAAACACATACACATGATTGTACACGTGTGTGCAATGAAGCACTCATTTGACACCTAACCCCAAAACCACCCATACGCACACACGTACACTCGCTGTCAAAGGTTATGCCATCATCAGCCATGGCTGCATAGCTAGCAGCTCACCTCATACAGATAAAGTGCCTCTAGTTCCATAAACACACCGGAAAACCTGTGAGATTAAACTGAAGTAAAAATAAACCTATGTTGAAGACGCGGAGTGGGCCAGCCGTTGGATGAGTCCAATCGCAGCCTTATCTCAGCATTAGAAGCACGAGAGGGGAGATATCCGCAATGGATTCATCCAGAAAGCAGGGAAGGACCGGCAAGCGAGCCAGACACCTTGTCAAAGTACGGTGGACTGCAGTGGACTTCTCGGACACCGTGACTCAGCAACATCAGCAACAGGATGACTGGAATGCTGGGTAATGCAGCTTTACCGCGACCATTCTACGAGCCAGCCAATTGAGGTGGCTTGGCCCGGGGTGCGTGGAAACTCAGGTATGGCAAGATGGGCCGCGGATGACGAGAGTGACTAACGACTCCTCCTAACGCGTCAAGACGAGTCCTTCTTGGCCTTCTGCGCGGCTTCATAGTGGCAGTTGTTGAGACCGCGGCGATTTCGTGCTATCTCGATGGCGTAAAACTGAACGCGCGGAACTGGACACAGAGCAGAGCAAAGACAACGTCTTCTGTCAGATAAGCCTGTAGTCTGGAATTTGAACCAGCCACATAAGCATGCGAGATGTATGGATGATTCCATACAAACACAAACCTACCCAGGATTGTGTTCTCTTGACTGTATTCACCGGCCACATCCAGTCTGCGAGAAATACACACACACACACACACACACACACACACACACACACACACACACACACACACACACACACACACACATACACATACGCATACACCCACATACATACACACGCACACACACACACGCATACATACACGCACACACACGCATACATACACGCACACACATACGCATACATACACACACGCACACACGCGCGCACACGCACACACACACACCAGCACCATCAGCGTCTAAGACACAGAACGCAGGTCCAGTCAGCTTCGTGAATACCAACCCCGGGCATAACAACAACTAGCAAATGATGACACTATTATTGTAGTCTACGTTCAGACCTTGTAACCATTGACTGCATACTTCAGTTAAACCTCATGAATAACCACAATAAGTGAAGATTCACCTCTGTTCCCAAGGCAACTCACGACGGCCGCTAAAACCCGGAAACAACCGGCGGCAGATGCAACGCCTAACGGTGGGAAGTTGGTAGAGCTAGAGAGTGATAAAACCCGAGTCTCTGCATTTAGAGGCAGCACGTGTTGTCAAAGTACCTTAGCAGAGTGCCGAAGTTGAAGTCTTCGATTTGTCCTTCGTACTTCATGCAGAACGCTCTCCACATCTGTGGACAAAGAGACAATAGGCAGCAACCAAAGCCAGAGTTGGATAAACACACACACACATTCACTGACGGATACGGCCGGTCATTGGAATTATTGTTTACAATGCTTTTTTTAGTCTCTGACCGCTAGAACTCAGTTCCGGTATCGGTCCGCCTTGCTGCTTCACCAAGTCAATTTCGTATCGCAATCCTAGGTTGGCTAGGGTACCCCGTAAGGAGACCATACGTGTGTGGGGACTGCCTAGAGAAATACGAATAAATGACAACAATAATGCTGTTCACTGGTTAGAGGGAAAGACGCAAACGGGAAAAGTCTGAAGAAAAAAAATACTGTCACCACCAGAACTCGAACCAGGGACCCTCGCTTGTAGCCAGCGATGCTCTAACCACAGAGCTATGGTGTAATCGTCATCCCAGCAGAGAATAATGCTGTTCAGTTGACTGTTTAAACTTACAGCCTTGGCTTCAGGCGAGTGGAGGTCATTAACTCGAACAACATCAATCTGTACACAATCAGGGACATACAAACAACTTGCTTTAGTAGGGGGCCATACACAAAATTCGAAAATAGACACGAATAACGTTACAAGTACGTTCCATTGCTAACTTGTGTTTTTGGCTCTGCCCTTGTGGCATTGTGCACTATTTGCAGGGGTTTAGCAACATAGCTTGTGATATGGATACGTAAAAAAATTCCTCGTAGGCAAAAAACGCTAGAACACTTTAGTAGGAGCACACCCTTCAGGTTCATCAACATGCTGAAATTCTTCACAAGTAAACTGTCGTGCCTTCTCTTCACGTGATATACAGGCACGACTACTAAGAGCTAAAAATAAATCTGGATATTAATTAAAAAGACGAAAGTGGCTAAAAGGAGGCGGGTGGTAAAAATGCAATTATCAATAGAATTCGTGACTGATTCTATTGATAATTGTGACAAGAAAACGTTCTGGAATCCTTCAATTGTTGCTATGATTGCGATATGAGTGAGCACATAGTTCTATTCAATGAATTCATAGCATTTGTAAGAAAGGGTTTGCTCCCCACACCGGAGCTCGCGCTATTCCGCCGACTTTACTTGACTGACTCACGACTGCCATCCAGAGCACACGAGAAGTCCATCGAACCTTCGACTCAGCAAACCTGCAAGAAAGCACCACTCCCTGCTCAATACACAGTGTTTCGGGGAATTCGCCCCTCATCAGTTGAGCTTGAGTGTCAAGTAAAGTCGGCGGAATAGCGCGAGCTCCGGTGTGGGGAGCAAACCCTTTCTTACAAATCATCGCCGAAGTCGCAACCACTACTTCGTACAATTCATAGCATTATTTAGACTATTGTCTCCACGTCGCCTGTTCAAATGTAGAGCAGCACACATTCCATTGACAGACCTGCATATCAGAGAAACCCTGGAGAAAGTCCTCATAGATGTCATCATCTCGTCTGTGTGTGTCAGCATGGAAAGGAAAGAGCACACAACAGTAAACCAATTAAATTAAAAAAAGTGATATACTGTAATTTCACAAATTTTCGGTGTACTTTTATTTTCGGTACTTTCGGTGCGTCTTTTTCATACCTAAAATTTCAATACACCGAACAAACACTAACACACATAATCCAATAGGGAACTGCTTCTCTGCACCGAACATTTCTGTTCACCTAACCTGGCCTGTTGCCCTCATACCGAAAATATTGAGCACCGAAAATTTCTGAAATTAGAGTACACGTTGCAGTATGTAACAACCAAGAAAGAATGTGATATCTAGGGAGATGACATGAGACAGCTGTGCACGCGCGCGCGCACACACACACACCACATGCGCACAGACACACACACCTTGACCTTGCCCATTGCGTAGCAATGATAGCGCATTGTTGCACACACACACAAACACACATATGCACACACACACACATATGCACACACACACACACACACACCACATGTACACACATGTACACACACACCACATGTACACACACACACACACCACATGTACACACATGTACACACATGTACACACACACACACACACACACACACACACAGTACGTACCTCGTCAGGCGCAGCTGTTTCGGGTCGATGGCCGTGAGTAGCTGAAGAGAAAGCAACAGTATGCCAGCTATCATACATTGCACAGTATGGCTGCAGAGACAATCGTATTTCACGAAATTAACCCCGCAATAGAGATAAGCGCCGCCCTGTACTAACCCCGGTCGGGGTTGAAAAGTGGCTGATATTTTCAAATATTTGACACATACGCATCATTGGTGATAGTCAAGAAGTCCAGCAACAAAGCAGTATTCGATAGTTAACACAAATTGTTGTTTCGGGCATGGTACTTAGCGTTGCCTTGTTCAAAATTCTCTAAAGTGACGGTTAGTTGTCAACTGTACTCATGATTATAGTGTATACTGTACGACTAGGAGAGGTGAAAAAATGCCTGATATCTGAGAGTGATGCGAGATAACATAATGATGCAACTGAAGTGTTTGCGAGGGGTAATTGAAAGCTGTAAGTGCAAAGAACCAGAAATAAGTCCAGTGTCTCGAAAGGTCTTGAAAAAGCATGCCCCTGGAGGTGTATTCCACGAAATACTTATCAGACGAAAAGCCAGAGAGACATATAAACGTACATGTACATACATTAATACAAGCAGATAGCCACACACCTTGAAGTATGTCTCTGATTGTTTGCCGCACTTCTCTGCCCATTGCGCTTCAATGACATACTGAACACAATATCCAAAAATAGAAGAGAGAGAGAGTGAGAGAAAGAGAGAGAGAGAGAGAGAGAGAGAGAGAGAGGAGAGAGAGAGAGATGAGGGTGACTGGCTAGCAATACTTCAAATACAGAAATAAAGTCAGACCTCGCTTAATCGCACACATCCGTTTTCCACAAAAAATATCCGGATAGGCGAGGGAGCCAGATAATCGAACACACATACTGTATGTATGTATGTACAGGTCGTCCCCCGTTAATACGAGTCCGGTTAGTACATAAACCCCGTTAGTACATAAGAAATCTCAAGTCCCAGACGAAACGTGGTCACTTCCATACAAAATTTGTCGGTTAGTACATAATTCGTTAGTACATAAACCCCGTTAGTACATAACATTTCTCCGTACCCGCATGCCACCTACCTCAATAGTACATAATTTGTTGGTCTTTTGGCCTTCCAGTGGAGGCACGTCGTGTTCTAGTTTCTACTTGTGAGCTCAGAAATCAGAGCGCACATCACAAACCGACAAAGCTCTGTTTTTTTTCGAGTGACTGTACAGGCGCAACTGGGCATGTAATGTATCATGTAGAATCTTCACTGACTGTGACCGTTATAACATAATTTTTATGTTATATCGAGGGAATCAAGAATATCTTGCTCCCTAGTCATGGCAGCAGGAAACACTCAGAAAAGTAGAAAAAAGTGAAAAATTCTGGTATACAAGCAAGTTATGTACACTTTCGTTTAGTACATAAACCCCGTTAATACATAACATTTGTCAAGTCCCAGAGATTATGTATTAACGAGGGACGACCTGTATGTATGTATGTATGTATGTATGTATGTGTGACATATGCTGCAAATCGGTAACCAACCATTTTCTTCCGGATGGCGAGGACCGGATAAGCGAGGTCTGACGTACATGTAGTGGTGACAATTGTTCCCTTATGGTAATAAAAGTAACGTTTTTTGCAAAGGGTGTCTATTGATAAAATAGCGCCGGGCGACATGCAGCCCTTGCACTACACATGCTTCGTTTTGTGCACTCGAATGCAGCACTACTATATTCATGAGGTTGGATTTCTCTTGCCAGAACAGTAGATTACTCCTTAGGGATTTTGCATCTAAGGCCACACCGTTTTTGATCTGTGTTTCGCGTCCCCCGCGTGCATGTATTTCACAGCCGGAGTTTAAAAAAAAACAAAAAAAAAACGGAACACAATTTTTTTTTTTTTGAAAATGCAAACCCAGAAAACCGGAAAATGTAACCCAAAAGGAAAAAAACCCGAACATGATTGTTACACGTAACTATTATGTTGGCATCAATTAAATATTTTGTTCTATTTATCGCATGAGTAGTTACTCGCATGATTGTACTCAGCTCACATGTGTGTGTGTGTAATAAGCTGGGCTGCAAGTCACACAATCATCATGCCGCCTGTGTTTGGAGAACAAGCATGGCAGAGGGGATACGCTCATGTATTCAAGTACATGAACAGTGCCGCGTCGCTTCACTGCCGCGTCGCTTCACTGTACACAAATGCAATGCACGTACACTGTTTTTTTTGGATGGCTTTTTTATTTTTTTCGCCCTCCCTCATTGATTTCATCGGATAAGGTGACGCGAAACATAGAAAAAAACGGCGTGGCTTAAAAAGTATCTAAAGAAATTTTTGGAAAAGTTTGAATCAGTTTTCACTGTTATCCATCATTTTGGGTATTAAATACCAAGAGTTCATGTCCTCTTGGTATTACGTTGACATACTGTACTTTAGGGAACGGAGATAGGTCTGCATGCGAACCTGACACTGTTTGCTAAAGATTATAATCGAGTAATCGATCGTTACACTAAATAGTAAAGTAATCGACAGGTGAAAATCCAAGATCGTTTAAGCCCTAACTATGATACACTGTCAACAGCAACATTTCTTACATCGTTCTGATAATCTTCTGCCCTGGATGAGGGGAGAGGCGCAGAGAGGTCTGCTCCCTGCAAGACGAGGATAAAGAAAGAAATACAAAGTCATTGCCCCTCTTCTACCGCTGCAGATACAAGCACTGAAAGTCTACACACCAAAGCTGCTGCCAGATCAGAATCCATTCCTGCTGTTTCAACTGAACAATTTCAATCTCAAGATTCAACGAAAAAATCATGTACCGGCGCGGTACGCGGTACGCTGTATACATGTACTGAGTAAAATGTCGAGAAAAAATGTGCCTGTAGCTAGCTGTATAAACGACGTAGATCGGTACGTGCCACGCCTGGTAAAAAAAAAAAAAAAAAAAAAAAGAATGTTTGGCATCAGCTAGCTCCGCCATACGCGCGCCACCGCGTCGACATATCGACAGAAGTTTTGGTGAGAGCTGCTCGTCATATATCAGACTGTGACGTGTGAGGTTGAACACAACGCGTGAACTTTTTCGTAGTGGGTCAACGCGCAGGTAACGAAACATATTTTCGTAGATCAGCTCTTTTCGGTCGCGTTTGGACCAGGGAGTAGTACAATATTGTACTACTCCCTGGTTTGGACGGATCTTCGTAGCAACTTTCGTTACTTGAACCCGAACGGTCAAAATCTAACGAATTTTCGTTGTGCGCAACCTCTCTATTTTCCCTTTTTGATCTTCGTTGTCCTCTGCTTTTGAAAGAAGAAGTAAATACAAGAGAGTCAACGAGGACAATTCCAGGTCAAGTCACGCGTGGTGGTGAAACCGAAAGGTCCCCAAAACAAAGCGTAATCCATTCCTCGTGGTGCTCGTGAAGTTGTGTAATTGTGTCGTCTGGCTTTCAAAGACTACTCGTACTGGTAAAAAGAGTACATGATTGTACTCTTGCTGGTACGTACATACATAGTACTGTGTCCACCATGGTCCGGGCAAAGCGTAGATCTACGTGTGACAAAGGCCTGTCTGCAGGCTCTGCGTCTGTGCTCAGGCCTTCACAAGGCTTCAGCCAGTTCACACGGTTCAGGCTCACCCACAAACTACATTGTAAATACTACAGTCTACAACAACAAGTCATGTAGATCTACTTGCTTCGGGAAAAAGCAAACCCTGATAAAATGCTATGGTAGTTGGTACGCATGGTGCCGATATCGCGATGTCGATGATGATCAACGCGATTTTGGGATATCGATCGGGAAGCAACGGGAACCCGTATTTTTGTACGAGGCCATGCATGGCCTATATGGATATCGGATGACGAGCTTTGTACTTGTACGTGTACGTAACGTGTGTGTGCGCGCGTGCAACTGCAATGCACCAGCCATTGTTGTTCTCCATGCATTTGACCATGACTTTTGTGGACATCGTACCCGTAGACTCTGATTGCGACCTCGTGGAGTCGTATTGTACTGTGCGTAGCATGCTCATTCCATTCCTACACGGACTATGAGCGACCGTAGTGCCTGCTCAGATGTACAAATTCGTTCGAATTTCGCGGGCTTTCAGAACCGTTGCTTGCATATCGCGGTTGGTTCACTGCGAAAGCACATGCTTCACTGTCTGTTCCCGTGCAGTGCTGTACAGTTGCTTTGTGTGTGCCCCAGTGTTCACATACTGTGGTCTCCCTGTGTGCAAGATTGTATCCTGCGATACTGCAGAGAAGCCTACAGGCCAATCCGTTGACTGACCAGGTGTCCACTACTCAGGTTCAATTATGCCACCGAAAGGAAGTCGTAAGCCGAAGGACCCCAACAAGCCCAAGGGGCGTATGAGCGGTTATGCTTTCTTTGTCCAAGCAAAGAGCGAAGAAGCCAAGGCTGAGGGCAACACGCTGCCCCTGAGAGAATTTTCCAAGAAATGCTCTGAGGAATGGAAGAGTCTTGATGACGCTACCAGGCAGAAGTATGAGGCATTGGCCGCCGAGGATAAAATCCGGTACGAGAGAGAGATGGTCGGTTACGTCCCCCCTCCTCCTTCGGACAATGACTACGACGAGCCACAGAAGAAGAAGAAGAGAAAGAAGGACCCCGACGCACCCAAGAGAGGAATGTGAGTTTTCATAAATTCGAGTACCCTGCATATGGTTTGAATTGTTATTGAGTGTAATTTGAATTGCTCGCTGTTGGGGAATTTATTGTTTTCATTGGTCTTTGTCTTTGCTGTTCCCAATGGCCCTCTTTTTCTCTTCTCTTCCCCGTCCAGGTCGGCTTTCCTTTTCTTTTGCAACTCAAGGCGACCCGAGTTGAAGTTGAAGTTTCCGGATTTCGCCATGGGCGAAATGTCCAGGAAACTTGGAGACGAATGGAAGACCATGGACGACACGGCCAAGGCACCTTTTGAGAAGCAGTCTATCGCGGATCGTCAACGGTACGAGAAGCAAATGGCGGAATACAAAGCGGATTCAGAGCAATGCCACTAGTATGTATGCGCCTGACTGAGGGACTCACGAAACCACATTGCATGATTTTGCTTCTCATGACACAAGACACGCCACTGTTTGATGTTGCCTAGCTGGATGCGCCACCAATCTCAGTTCTCTCTCTATAGTCCACAAATTTGTTACGAGCCAAGTCATAAAAGAAAAAGCATCTGCTCTCATCCTTCTTTCCCTTCATAACATCTTCATGAGAATGATTCATGTGTGCATCCGTTGAAAATTCATGAGCCGGTCGAACATAATATTCATGCTGCCGTGTTGTTCGTTCATTTATAATACCTGTGCATGATCATGTACCATCAATACTACCCTAGTCCTTAGTAGTAAGAATACCATTGCTTTGCCATTAAAAACTCATCTAGCTGGTATTGTGCCTCATTGTGGTGCAGACATCCGCTTTCCTCTTACGACGTCGTTTCGTGCTTCTGTTCTATGATATCATGACATCGTTGATCCTGTCATGTCTTTTCATTCTAGCCTGAAAAGATGCCGTGATACTCTGGTGGTCTCTTGGTGCGCTTGTCTTGTTTGCGGGTGCCGCCTCGTGATTCGCGTTATACGTATGCTGCAGCTCGCTTTGTATCTTTGCGGTTGTGGTCATTGTGTTCTCCTCTCATCTTTGCCATCATTTGACTCTTTGGTCTCTTGTGTTGGCCTCTTGCTGTCCTGTGTGCAGTACGCTGTAGTGATGCTTGTCGCTGCATCATTTCTTGATTTGTGTCCGGTCTGCAATTTCGCCCGTAGCTCTGCCAATACGAATAAAACCTTGGTCCGTCATAACCGTTGTGTGTGTGCGCAACTGCTTGTTTTGCATGGATCAGGAGTGGGTGTCTAGAGAATATTGGACAGACTCAGGGGCGTGCTCGCCCCCCCCCCCAACTAGGGGGGTGCCCAGGAGCCGAGGGGAGCCCCCCCCCGGCAATTTTCTTCAATGACTATGTGTTTGCAACCTTTCTTGAATTTTAGAGCATATTTGCATACATTGCAATTACTGTACCCAGATTGAAAATTTTTGGGGGGTGCACGTACCCATCGCCGAGCACGCGCCTGAGACTTCATTGATATTCAATGTATGACTTCTGGACAGACTGGTAGTGGACTCTGCAAGAATCGTTATCACGTTCTTTGTTCAATGTAGGCTCTGATCTGAGCCTCTCTGCTTGAGCCTTGACCGAAAAGCAATCTTGGACAATGGACGGCACCGGTGATTGTCAGAGACTGATCTGTATACTGTTACTTAGTCTGTAGCTCGACCAGTCCTCTTCTTTCTAGTCTGGTTTTCCTTGCCTTTGGAAAGTTTGGTACTGTAGTATCATGATTAAATTTAGCCAGTAGTAGCTAGCTAGATTGTCTGTGGGCAGTACAGTACGTCATGTAATGCTGTTGTGTAAGTAGCAGACACCAGTGATAGACTTCACCAGATCCAGGGTCCCAACAGACAGTGCGACGTAGGGGGTGCAAGTAAATAGTGGTAGCAAGACAAGTCTTGTCGACAAGAACTGAAGTCGACACCTTTCGTTCAAGAAGTCAAGTAAAAAAGCCCCCATCATAATCCTGTGCATCAGGTGCACTGACAGTGACACTGACAGTCTGACCTCAAAGTCGAAGCTTTGCACCTCATTTGGCAGTCTCAGGTCTGCACCCGGTACCCGTCTCGTACTCTGCAGCAGCTCCTGGGTGTCGTAAAAATACGACTCAGAAGATCATGCCGGCAAGGCGCGGCCGCGCGAGGAACACCCGGTAAAGTTTGAAACAGTTTTCTTTTGCTACTGAACAAGCAGCAAATCAATGTGTTGTGCTTTGTGTAATTCATTATTGATGGATCTATTTTCTTTCAGTAATGTGAAAGGAGACGGGTAAGCCGGCTTCGTCTGGCCAGTAGTAATCAACGGCATGGAGAGCCGCTATTTTGCTGTGTCCGGTGGGAAAGAAGTGTTTCCTTCACGCGAAGGTGCGCTGGCCTTATGGAAACAATTGAGCAAAACGGACAAAACTGCTCGATTCAAGGGTTTCTCAACATTGGAAGAGGCAACGGAATTCGCCACAGCTGATGTGGATGTTGTTGATGGTGCAAGTGGGGAAACGAGCGCAACAACATCCAATTCAGATCCAGGAGCATGCACCTATCCCAAGCTAAAAGCACCAGCGTTGAACGCTTTCCGAATTGCAATGGAACGTGATGACGAGGAAAAGGTGAAAGCTCTTGTTGAGGAGAACTCCCGCTATCTGATTGACTGCTCCGGCGACTTTCCAGTGCACCTGCACAAGGGATGTCAGTACAATGCACTGCATGTGTGCGCGCGCAAGGATAGACCGGCCCTTGCTCGCTTTGTCCTGGACACCGTGGCATCGGATGCCTTCTGGCTACGGACCTACCCGCTTGACTCGGATGCCGTAATGAATCAACGGCGTGATCACCTGATAGACCTGTACCTTCATGCACGCGACAAAGGAGTGAGTTATCATTACGTTGCCGTTACATCTCGTTCTAAATGATTCAGAACTAAGTGCCGCTTCAATCATGGATGACTGTCATGTTATCCATGATGACTTGCGGACAGGAAGTACAGTAAACCTGTCAAGACGACCACTCGGATAAGGCGACCTCCTGTCCTAGAAGACCACTGAAACCAGCACCAAGAGATGCTATTTCCAGTCAAGTGACCCTGGATAAGGAGACCACCTGGTAACAGAGACCACGTTTTGAAGGTCCCATGAGCGGTCGTCTTAAACAGGTTCCACTGTAGTTTCCTATCCTGTGGCACGAATAGGCGAATATAACTCTCTCTCTCTCTATCTTTCTCTCTCTCTCTCTATCTATCTATCTCTCTCTCTCACACACACACCACGCACATACAAGGGTAGCTCGGCTGCTTGGAAAGATGCATTGGTTCGAATGGGGAATCAGGCTGATCAGGCCCTGCCTTATCCTACGGCAGTCATTTAGCCTTTGCTGGAGAGTAAAAGGTAACGGTAGCCGCTGACCATAGGGGCAGGAGGTGATAATGCTAGAGATGTCTTGTTTCAATGAGCTGGACATGCTAGTAGCGATGACTGGTGTTAGTACTATACCCTGTGCTATTGACTAGTGTACACTCCCCTGCTAGTGATGGCGGTGGTTATCTTCTCTCCCTTGTACGCAGCATCTTGGCTATGCGGCACCTGGCATATGGCCCGTGGAGGCACGTTACTGAAGGCTCACTGCATCACCTTGTCACCACCCGTAGCACACTCTGTACGACATCACCTATCTGGGTGGATCATTCCATCATCATGAAATCACGGGATTTAGTCAACTTCCAGTTCCAGACACGATTACCCTGGAATAGCTACCCCCATCAACCTGGGACTCCATTGGAACCAGTGCCGTTTCACAAGCTGTGAAGTTTTAATTGGGGGGGGGGGGGATTTCCCCGTTTAATTTGCCTGCTGGAAAGGCACCATTACTAATTTGTCAATACACGCCGCTCATCACATGCTCTGTCTAGCTGCAACCAGCTCTGTCACTTCTTGCAAACTCACCCCCTGCTCACGATGATACTGCCTTCTCTCATCCTGTGCGTAGAAAGGGTTCACCGCGATGCACTTTGCGTCTGATCTCGGTCATCATCGTGTGTTGGACGTGTTGCTTGCTAATCCCAAGACGGACACTCAAGTGCTGACACGTGACGGAAAGTCCATTGCCGACGTGGCATGCGAGCATGGACCCTCGGGGCCGGGCGAGAGTGACCGTGCACGCTCCATGATCATGGACATGCTTGACGGTGGGTTGGAAATCCGACGTCGCGCTGTGTGTGTGTACGTGTGTGTGTCTGTGAGTGTATGTGTGTGTCTGTGTGCGTGTGTCTGCGTGTGTCTGTGAGTGTGTGTCTGTGTGTCTGTGTATGCTTTTCAACAGTTTTCATCATGATTATATATTATGTAACATTTGTTTAAAGCTCACTTGCTCTGTGTGGATATAGCCCATAGCTGTGTAGGAGCACCAGAGCAGGCGTGCATTGTTCATATCAGCACCTGGCACCTGGCTTTGTTCCGACGTACACTTTTGAACTGCAAATAGGACTTCTCCATTCGACATATATATAAACAGAGCAGCTAGACTTCTCTTTCTTCTTTACGTTGATCTTGTCTGCCACTGCAGGGCAGTACTTTGTTCCCATCCTGCGACCGGAGTCTTCTCCGGCCATCCTCGGCCAGCCGTTTTCGCCCAGCAAGGGTGACAGTCCGCTGAGCTCGGTGGATACAACGCCGGTGCACCACCCGCCGTCACCGATCTGTGTCCACGGCCTGGCTGGGCCAATGTCACCATCTCGGGTCAGTACATGTATAATGATAGTGCATTTCAAAAATATAGACCTCTGGTTTTTAAAAAAACGTTAGGCCAGCATCTATGCCACATAAAATCTGTGATCGCTTTGTGCATAAAATTTCCGAAATCAGGCGTTATCCAATCTCCTAGAAATCGATATGAGAAAAATTGGGGTAACTGGCTGAGCAATATCCCAAAGAAATTTCTCAAAAAGCTCAAACCAAATTTGAATTATTCAAAAAAGTCTAGAGGTCTATACGACCATGTACTTTCGAAACACACTATAGTCTGGTCTTTAGTTAGTTTGTGGGGAAACATGTTGCCTTGCTTACTCAAGTAATAATCAAATTCAGGGTCTCCTTGCTTGCTCCCTGCCCGTCTCCATCTTTCAGTCTGGTTCACTCAGGCCTGGTTCAAATCTGGCTTTGAAATAAAATCGTTTTTAGGTTCAGCCTCGTTTTCTCTGTGCTGCTCAGTGAAATCCAGTCACGTCACTCGAGTTTGCACTTTGCACCATTTCGCAGCCCAGTGTTCGCAGGTCTTGGGCTGCACAGCGCCCGGCGCGTATTCGAGTGACTCGACTGGATTTCATTGAGCAGCACCACTGTACATGTACAACTATGAATTCTGATTCCCGGTTTGTGGTTGCATTTTGTGTCAAAAGTTGACCTTCTGTAGCTTTTTCCTGTTTGAATTTCTCAGGCACGTGACTTCTATTCATTGCTGAAACGACCGCGGTCACGTACAGACCGTCAGATGCACAGTACTATTCTGCGCAGCGACTGGGAACGCGGTATGGAGAGACTGGGCCGGTGAGTGAATACTAGATATCGTCAAACATGCGCATGAACATGCACACACGCACACACACACACACACACACACATGCACACATACACATGCACACACACACACACACACACACACGCATGCACACGCATGCACACAATCACACTGGCACAATGTCATGTAACTGCATCACCATATAGAGCATTGCATATACATGTAACTGCATGTACATGTACTCAAATCTGTGGACAGCAACTGTTTCGCTCGGTTAGAGCTCGTCACCACATGTAAAGTGTGCAACGATTTGGTACAGCTAACTTGAGCAATTTGGATTGCTATTGGCGAGCTGCTCCAACTCGGTCTCTTTCCACTGCATGGTCACAATACTTAACTCGTACAATTATTATGCTTGTTTTCTTCACTTGTGTTCTGATTGCGATTTGTGCCTCTAGCATAGTGCTGGACTGCGTGGCTGATTTTGCACCACATTGCGGGGCCTCTAGCATAGTGCTGGACTGCGTGGCTGATTTTGCACCACATTGCGGGGCCTCTAGCATAGTCTCATGTGAGCCGTGATTATTTTATTTTTTTGCAGGGAACAGGCTCACCGGCATGGCGTCTGCTGGCAAGAACACTGGGCATTCCTGAACAGTGACTGCGACCTGTCCTCTGACGCGGGCCTGCAAACCCTGGAGGATTTCTTCGTCCACCAGGACACATCGGCCCAGCCTACGCCGCCGCCATCGGCGACCTCCGGCGAAGACATGGTTGACTTTCACACACCGACACGAGATGACAAGCCCGTTCCCGGGCACGCTTGTAGTGTTCTGACTCCGGATAGCAAGCCGCTATCATCCGTGGACGACCTGGCAGCCTGTATTGACAAGGTGTCTCTGAGCGATCCCGCTGCTGATTCTCCTTCCAACACTGATAGTACTTCGGGCACTTCTGTTGCTCTGAACACCCCACCCGATGTCAGTAGTACGTCGGTTACTACTGATGCTACTACTGCTGCTTCTGCTTCTGTGAATACTCCCACCAGTGATGATGGTGACCGCCGTTCCGTCCTGCTGGATTCTCCATCTTCTGAGGTTCCCGCTGGCTTGGATGATGAGCAGCCAGTTCCTGGTGTCGCTGAGTGCTCCGCGCCATTGTACATTTGCGGGTGAGTTCACAATCACACTGGTTGCAACTTACCTGTTAGCACAGCTGTGAGGTTGACTCAGGCATGGCGCTGTTCTCACATACCATACCACTAGGCCTACCTACATGGAGGGGGGGTACCCACTATATCTCTTGCGAGATCATTCAGCGAGTGTCTTTTATGGATCGACTTTGAAGGAAAACTCGATATGACGGAGACATGAGTGTTGCAAGGACTGCTTTTGAAACTCATACCATAGTAATACTACTACAGTATAGTTGATGCATGCAGCATAGGCCATGTGAATCAATGATTGTCATTGTGAAGCTATCGATGCGCATGTTTGCTGTATGGAAGCCTTTGGGTTATCCGTAATTATCAATAAATAAATATATCGCATATTTTTAAACTTGTGCCCACATTTTCCATGCTACATATAAACAAATAAATGGGTTCTTTCCGGATCTGCAGCCTGTACAGGCACCGTCTCCCGTGTATAGAGTATACATGTGCGTATTTGTACTTTACACAGACCAACAATGCACTAGGCTAGTTTGTTACAACTCTGACCTTCATGCCGTATGCAATCATCAGGCAATATGCACATGCTGTTGACCATGCCAGTATTAAAATTTTATGTCAGGAGAAATATTAGTTTTTTTTGGGGGGGGGGGAGTACATGTATTCGTATTTTTTTTAATGTGTTTTATGCCGTTTCTCTGTCGTTGTAAACATGGTTAGGATGGAGCCCAGCAAGCTGGATGAAGACGTTCTCCTGGCCATTGGCGATGCTGTCGTCGATCCAGCTCGCTTCCCGCACGTAGCCCAATGGCATCGGAGAACGCAGCTGCACCCTACTGACGAACGCTCCAAGTAAGTTTCCCGTGCGCGCATGCCAGTACTAGTGACTGCTGTAAATATACAAAACTTCGGCACTTCACGATTTTTGACATTTCGGCGGCGATTTATTTTCGGCGTGGGGTAGAGGGCATGGCATAGTGCGACAGATGCTGTGAAAAATTTCATCGGCGTTTCAATTTAGGCGTTTTGGGTCGGTACCGAATATAGCCGAAATTAAATAGCTGCCGAAAATTTGTATATTCACAGTAGATGGTATTAGATAAACCTGGTATTGCAGAAACATTGTAATATGCTGTCAAACTCAACACACAGTGAGTACATGTACATGTACAGTGCTGGCCAGTTCAAAAACTCGCCCTCGTGGATAGAAAAGCACCAGGCGTTGCACAGCCCTAGCACTGCAAACACTGGGCTGTGTACTCCCAACGTACAAGTAGAGTCATGTTTCATGTTTCATTCACGGAAACGAATTTCACTGGTCAAGGCTGTAGATATTCGTTGTACTCCGGTATGATATGTGCTATGTGTTGCGCTGCCGTTGTCATTGGCCTCTGTCCCCCTTTGTTTGCATGACCCAGGCCCCGCAGCCAATTTTGTGTCTGGCTCTGCGCTTGACCTCTCTCTCTCTTTCTCTCTCTCTCTCTTTCTCTCTCTCTCTCTCTCTCTCTCTCTCTCTCTCTCTCTCTAATCATTCTCTCTCTCTCAGGTGGAGGACGCCGAAGAAGTTCAAACTACTGACAGCCAGTAGTTATCAACCCCTGGATGCCAGTCCACTTGCATCTCCCCTGGCTCCTGCCAACATGTCACCTATGTCAGCCAACATGCTGGGCTCTCGTATGCTACTGGGTGCCGGTACTGGCTCTCCACGTCTGCGTCAGATGCTGAGCCCTGGTGGTGACAAGGCGCGCACGATCTCGCTGCAAGAACGCTTGGCGATCAACCGCACCGCTGCATCACCGCGTCGCTTGGACTGCGAGTTTGCCAGTATGTAGCCTGGGACCCTACAGCTGCTGTGTTATCCGTGTGCCGGTGGTGTATGTGCTATGTAGCCTAGAGCCCTGGAACTGTACTAGGTCTATGTGCTGCAGTTGGTGAGTAGCTGTGTGTAATGGCATGCACTTGAGAACGGGTGGAACTGGCACCATCGCACACACAAACTCGCTCTCGTCCGCTTGATCTCATCGTGTTGAACGTGCCATGCCGTACACACGCACACACACACCGTGCACGTACACCACACCCATGCATGCACACATACGGGTACGCAAACAAGCAGGTGTGCCGTGTGTGTGTGTGTACGCCGCCCATGGTCTACACGAGTGCTGTTCGTGTGAACATGTAGTACTCCGTGTCAGTTGATGTTGCCCTAGGAAACAGCTGGCCTGTTTGCACGAAATGAAGCTCGCCACTGCTGATAATGACACACTCCTTGTAGACAGAGATATTGGTGGCATTCATGCTTGCTGCATCCTACCTTCCTGCCAGTTGTTCTGCTCAGCGTCATGTTGCTGGTCTGTTGGACACCATTTGCCTGCCTGTAGTGTTCCATTCCAGCTCGTGCTCCACCTTTGCATTGTGCAGCACTCCTTATAGACCGAGATATCAGTGGCATCCATGCTTGCTGCATCCGACCTGCCTGCCAGGTGTGTCCAGCGTTGTGTCTCTGGTCTGTTCGACACTATGTAGACAAATTGTGTCTGTATGTAATGTTCCATCCTAGCATGTGCTCCAGCTTTGCATTGTGCAGCTCTGCAGTGTCCAAAATGGCTCACATGCAGCACAGTTTATTTTTTGACCCTGGCTTTGACAGCCAGGAGGGCTTGCTTGTTTTTGTTGTGCCATTTGTAACTTCTCTTAACTTTCTAATTTCTTTTACCGTGCCTCTGCAGATGGTAGACAGCTGATATTCAATTATTTTAAACCAAGCCCCTGAAAGTGCTTCCGTTTTTTATAAGTCCAAATCCCGTATACAGTCTGCTGTGTGTGTTGTTGGTTGACAGCATGTAACAAGGTGGAGACCACCGTGCTCGGAAACAGTGATCTTTCTACAACCATCCACGGTCAACCAATACTGCATGTTTCAACAACAAAAAAAGGCTTATCGAATACCAGTCTGCTGTGTTCTAACAAGAGATGGCTGTCCAATGTACAAACCCCGTTTCTGCAACGCTTACATGTAGTTCCACTATGCATTCCCACCCAAAAGTATATACCCCCAAAGTACCGCGAAAGCGCCCCGCCAAATGTACCCTTCACGGGCAATGTGGGTTGACTGCATGAGCACATGCAAGAGCTGAATAAGCTGGGAGTTTATAATTATACTCTTGGTACGTTTTTAGAGGTATGTACTCTTGCTAGTGTGCATAGCACAACTGGACCTATAGCCTAGACTAGAATCTCACCCAAACTCAGGCACCGTGTTTTATTTCTTCTCTTTTCAAAGTTTTCACCTTCCTCGAATCATCACATTCTCAATGATTTACGTCTTTACTTTACAATGATTATCATGATTTTACAAGTAAAATAATCTAACCGGATCACAATGTACATTCTTGAAATTGCTCCCACCAAAACTAAGCCAAAAGTATATATAATTCCAATTTAAAGTTATAATAATATGATACAAACCGGACAAAGAGGGGCGAAACAAATCAACTGACACTACAAAAAATCTACCTAAGAACACAGTGTAAAGAAGACTCGCAAAATCGAAACAGCAAAACACAGCAGGACACACAACAGGTCACAAGACACTCGATAAACTATTCCTAACAGCAGGGATGCAGCCGCCCCACAGATGGAGGCAGGCAGCGGGATAAAAAACTCAATGTTACTGACAGAAAGGGAGAAGGAAACAATGACAGCATCTTCCAAAATAACAAGCAGGGGAGGCACGTGCCATTACTGAAACTAACAATCAAGCTACGTATGTGCAGAGAGAGGGGGCACTTCTGAACGGGTGCAGAATCTAAAGCATACATTTACTTGTAATTATTATGTATAATATCTACAAGATATGCCGTTTGGGTGTGCGCATTGCAGTTGGTGTGTACGTTGTTGAACACACTGCTGGTGGAGATAGGCTGAGCCAATGTGAATGTGCAGCTGTCAAGTGGTGCAGTTCGGCTGCGCGCCTTGTCGAGCACAGTGTGATGCCGTGAGGCCGTTTCCATGTGACTGTGCGGTTGTGCAAGTATCACGCCTTGTAGGGTGGCAACTGTGCATGCCCATCCATGTGTGGACAAAGAGCGTGTATGCGCAAAGACTATGCTTCTGACGGGGGTAACCTGATGGACGATTCACTGCTTGTTGAAGTGCTCGGAGAAACACTGCCGTGGAATGATTCGCTGCGGCGCGGCATCCTCGACGACTTCAACTTCTCCTTCGTCTTGATGAGGTTGTCCTCGAGCTCATTATTCCGCCGCCTCTCTGTCTCGCGCAAGTCCTCTGCTGTTCGAATAGCCTCGACCCTAGCGTAAAAAGAAGCGCGGAGAAAGAAACAACAAAAGCAATCTCTGACCACCGTTCAGGACACAACTATAAAATCACAATACACACACACAAAAAAAATTACGACCAAAAAAATACGACCACGCCAGGATTCGAACCTGGAATCTCCTGATTCGTAGTCAGGCGCCTTATCCGTTGGGCCACGCGGCCAGTCACAACTGAGCACATGGCTGCACTTACTTTGTCCAGTACAATCGTACTGACTCAGGCAGAAGGTGAAACTACAATGAGTAAGTATAGTACTGTAAACCGCCCAATACTTGCGTCACTAAATATTCGCAATCCCTCAGAACCAGCGAGTCTACGTTGGGAAATGTCCGCGGAGCACTGTGGCCGCACATACACATCCAATGTTTACGTTTGATTTCACGATGGTTAATATTTGCGTTATGCTCTTCCCGCAACATTGGCTAACATTTTAAATACATCGCAAACGTTAGCCAGTTTACAGTAAGCAGGGAGTAGTATCTTACACGCGTTACTCCCTGCTGGTAACGGTGCAAGAAGATCCATCCATTGGCTTGGAAAACAAAAGGTATACAGTCAGCTTGGCTAATAACGACTGCGGATATAACGACAATTCGCGAATAACGACAAAATTTCCATGCCCAGAGCAAGTTCCCATCTACCTGTTACCCTCACTGATCCTTACGCATAGATATACAGCATTCCCTCACTAGTGGGACCATTGTTATTAGGCTAGGGCCTGTTTTGGACTTCCCACTCTAAATAAAGAATACAAACAAAAACAACAAACCTGTTTACATATAATGAGACTTGGGGTATAAGGACACTTCGCGAATAAGGCCACTTTCCTGATGCCCCGCCGAGTATCGTTATATGCAAAGTTGACTGTAATTATAATGGTGTTGACAGGAAAATAAGAGAAAACCGTGCAGGTACCTTTGCATGGAGTTTGGCTGCGTGCTTGTGATCTTCTCCAGAATTGAATGCATGGCGTCAACCTGCGTGCGATCTTTCGACACTTCACCGTTCCTGCTAAAGAAGCACGAAACAAGACAAACAATTGTTCTGACATCAGCTAGACACAGTATAGAATGCATGCCTCGTGATTGAAACACGTACTGCAGAGTTGCACACTCCAAGCAGCTTCTATGGCCACACGTAAAAAAAATGCCTGTACGTCCCATTGACCTGGCGTGGTGGCCCCGGGCATGAGTTGTCCCTGCGCTCTCATCATGTGTCCCTTGTTTTCATTTGGTACTGCTGTGTTTGAGGTAAATGTGCGGTAAATAAGCCAACGTGTAGACTATGCTTTCGTTCAAATTACAGTAGTGCTCGGTGAAATCCGACCCAAAGTGCATATTTGGTGCCCTGGAAATGGTACGAATGCAGCTGGACGAACACATGTACACGCACTGTGATGTAATGGGAACTGGTCCAGGGCGTCAGTTTTGCACTTTGGGTCGGATTTCAGTTACATGTACTTGTAGTTGCAAATTCCTACACAATGATCTAGAACAGCAGTACATATGTGTACATGAATACTAGTGCACTCTACAAAGGTGTATGGTATTGTATCTCGCGCTACCCTGCAAGGCAGACCAACTCAGTCTGACTTCCTTCCAGCAAGGTAAACGAGATCTGTTATTCAGACAAGAAAACTCCACGGTGTGTAGACAGTATCCTGCGTGGAAAAACTAATGATCACGCTTCCACACACAGTTACCGTGGGAACAGGGCATACTGCTGCTGCTGGCAACTACAAGAGTAGGGCGAGTACTTGCCAATGGTCTTGTGAGGCAAATACATTGTGTGTGTGTGTGTGTGTGTGTGTGTGTGTGTGTGTGTGTGTGTGTGTGTGTGTGTGTGTGTGTGTCCCATATGGTGCAGTGGTATGTGCAGTCGATTTCCAATCGAGAGGTTGCGGGTTCAATTCCCGACGATTATGGTCGCACACGTCTTTCTTCTCTTTCTCGGACTCTTCCTGACTTTTCTTTCATTCTCCTGGGTGGTTACCAACAGCCAGTGTATGCCGGAGTATGTGATGTGGTGTGTGTGTGTGTAGAAAAAAAAGAAAAAAGAAAAAAAGAAAAAAATGGAAAAATGAAAAATAGGGATTCACTGGCCAGAAAAAGTCACTTCAATCAGTTGTGTGGTGGATACCAGGCTAAAAATAGTGGCGGTCAATTCATCAGCCTTGCAAGCTGTTGAATGGTGTAATCCCAGCACAAGTCGCTATGTCTAACATAGCTGTTCGCTATCATCGCTTCCGCGATGGGCAGGTCTGAGGTCTGAGGTCTGAGGTGTGTGTGTGTGTGTGTGTGTGTGTATGTGTGTCACTCCGAACACTGTCTCGCCACCTTTTCCGCGGACCATGGGCAGGTCTCTTGTTTGGAAACGAACCGAACAGTAGAGCCTTCGGGATGCGCTCATCCTCCATCCTTGCCACATGACCAAGCCACTCAAGGTGACGTCTGCTGAGACGACACTCCATGTCCAAGGTATCTCCCCAGCGCTCCAGAACTTCAACATTAGTTATCCTGTCATTCCATGCACGTGTGCTATCGCGCCAAGGCATGAAGCGTCACAAGTGCAGCCGTGGCTCGGCCAGAGCAACCAACACAGACCGTAGCTCCTTCTGTATCGTTTGCAATTGCAGTCGGCGTTTCAGTAGACCACAGGACCTATCCCGTCATCGCTCCTACTGTTCCGAACCTGCTCAACCCCCCATGGGGTCCACATAGCCAGATTATGGCAGCGCGTCCAAGGTCCAAGGTATGTGTGTGTGTGTGTGTGTGTGTGTGTGTGTGTGTGTGTGTGTGTGTGCGTATGCATGTGCGTGTGTGTGTGTGTATGTGTGTGCGTGTGCATGTGTGTGCACACGCGCACATGAGCGTGTGTATACCGGTACTGTGAGAGGTAAAAGCACAGCAACAGAACAGAGATGTACCTGAGTGACGCCGGCCCGTTGCGTGCTGCTGCATCGTGGAAGCCATTCGCTGCGGACTCACTCGAGGAGCCAGCATCCACCGACGACCTGGGGTTGACTTGAGCGGACACCGCCGACAGCGAGAGCACATACGGTTCAATGGACTTGGCAATCGTCACCATTCGGCTGTGCTCGCGGATCAGCCGATTGACGTCGTCCAGCAGCGACTGGTAGTGCTCCTTCTCCTTGTCGACGTGCGCCAGCATCTCCTTCCAGCGCGTCTCAAACGTCTCGCGCACCTTGCACACGCCCGCCAAGTGGTCCTGAAGATCGACCTCGAGAGTGCTACTACTCTCGTGAATGCTTGTGACCTAAAAGAGCAAGTCAAGTGCAGCAGTAGCAACAGCAACAGAAACAGCAGTAGCAGCAGAAACACCGTTCTTAACGTCACAACTCAAACCAACAGCACACAGGGAAGAAGGCAATCCTGGTCAATCAACGGCATGAAAGCCAGCAATGTATATGCCGGCAGAAAAGCACTGCGACACCGTCGCCCAACGACCTACTCACCTCCTCTGATTTCGGTTGGCATTTGCGATGTGTGAGGTCTCGGTGCAGGTTCTGCACGCTCTTCTTCAGATTATCAAGACGCTGTTGCAGTCCCTGCAGGGCACGAGCAGCACAACAACATAGGTTAGTACATGTAGTGTGGGGTGTCTTAGCGCCCGTACAAACGGGCAGGATCAACTATGCACCATACCTTAGACCCCCTCCCCGCCCGCCCCCCCCCCCCACCCTCACACACACACACATACACTCCAGTTCTCCCTTCAGAAGTTTTTTAAAAGAGCAAAGTGTTTGAGTGTAGGTGCAGGTTAACTAGTTCTGCCGGTTTGCTTGACACATCGCCGAAGTACACGAACACGGCCACATCATACAACTGAGAAAATCTATAATGGAATACAGAATGATGCAGACATGGAATTCAGCTCACCACCCAGCACGCGCACCCCCCCCCCCCCACACACACACACGTACCTTAGATTGCATTGATATGCCACAGCATTGTTCAGATACGACGTCGTCACCGTCCATGGAGCCATGGCCGCCTACAGCACCGTTGGCGCGGTCGGCGTACGGTGCTGCCTGCCAGTACCGACCCTGCTCACTCAGGCCATGCGCACCGACCAGCGAGTCCATTGGACCAGGACTACTGTTGGTTGCAGAACTAACACACACACGCACACACACACAGACACACACAGACACACACAGACACACACACATACACACACACACATACACACAGACAGGCACACACACAGACACACACACACAGGCACACACACACACACACACAGGCACACACACACACACACACACAGGCACACACACAGACACACAGACACACACAGGCACACACAAATACAATACTAGTACAGCATGTAACATAGGCACATTAAAGGGGAAGTTACGGCTAAAATCAAAATTTCACCAGTTGTAGTCTTCGGGGTGCTGAGTCGAATGGTCGTGGTCCGAGGAAGCTGAGACGCTCCCTTCCTACTTTAATCCCAATCGAACTCGCGCACTTCCACCGAAACTGGGTGACTGCGCCCTACTAGATGGGGATTTGTATGCAAAATGTCACTAAAAGCGCCATTTCGTTCTTATAAAAGCACGGATGACCGCGATTGGCACATATGTTGTAGTCTTTTGGACGCTGAGTCGACTGGTTTTTGGTCCGAAAAGGCTGCGATGCAGCGTTCCTCCTTTATTCCCAATCGAACATGGTTGAACAAGCGGTCACGTGCTCCTGGGTGCCCAAATCACCTGGTCACCACGCCAGCAGGCGACAACTTTCACACCAAGGTTCAACTCGAGTGACAGGACTGCACCCAAAAAAGGTCAAACAGGCTAGTAAGTTGTACCCTGCAGGCACGGTGACTAGGTGACTGGTGTACGCAGGAGCACGTGACCACTTGCTCAACCATGTTCGATTGGGAATCAAGGAGGAACTCTGCATCGCAGCCTTTTTGGACCAAAACCAGTTGACTCAGCGTCCAAAAGACTACATCATATGGGCCAATCGCGGTCATCCGTGCTTTTATAAGAACGAAATGGCGCTTTTAGTGACATTTTGCATACAAATCCCCATCTAGTAGGGCGCAGTCACCCAGTTTCGGTGGAAGTGCGCGAGTTCGATTGGGATTAAAGTAGGAAGGGAGCGTCTCAGCTTTCTCGGACCAAGACCATTCGACTCAGTACCCCGAAGACTACAACTGGTGAAATTTTGATTTTAGCCTTAACCCTTTACCTTCTGACCATAATTCCCAGGCAGTTCCAAATGCGATATTTCTCACCTCATTCTGAGAATATCTTTGGTTATAATCAACCGATTTTCACACTCTTGGGCATTCTGGAAAGCTCTCCACGAGCTGCATACAATGAGCTCAAACTGGACACTACTGAGATCACATATCCAACGCCAGGGTGCTTCAAACACTCCCCATCGCTGGGTATCCGAGAAAATTCTCTCCTCGTCAGCCATTTCTCACTCCTTCATCGTAAACATTTCAAATTTGTTGTCCTGGGGTTTTTTTTATGCTGCCCACGCGCTCAAAACATGCACAGGTGACTCAGCATGTCCGGAGAGGGAAAATCCCCAGCTCAAGGCCAGTCACTCAGAAAAAATCGACTTTTGCCGTGGCTGAAATGTCGAGCGCGATATCTTTGGAATGCGGCATCGCAGCTCTTCGCCGATTGTTGCAATGAACAGCTGGTCTCTTTGGCTTCTGCCTACATATTTAGTTTTTGAGATTCCGTCAAGAATTGATCGAGTTACGAATGTTTTAGTGCATGCATGTCCATCGACCAAATTCGGTTGATTCAAAAGGAGAGCAGAAGGCCAAATCAGACTGGATTATGAGTGCATTATAATATGAATGCATATCACAATGCACAAGGGAGGCCGTGGCAGAGAAAGTGAACCGGCGTACAACACATTGGCTCCACCATGTACTGCATACGGCTTGCGTTCGCGCCCAATACGTTTTAATCTTCACAAGCACAGCAGAACTGGCTGGCATCCACATGTTCAAGGACTTTGCGCTGATTATACCGTATTTCCGCGCATATAAAGCCATGGCGTTATATCCGAATATAAGGCCACCCTCACTTATAAAGCCATGGCGTTATAAGTGAACAAAATTCAATGTGGAGGAAGTTGCATCTGGCGTTAAAGGTGAGTTCATTTCTTTCAGTGAACCTACAGTAGCGGTAATTCTCTCTGCATGTACCCATCCCCACTGTCACATGCCATACCGCCACCGCACCTTCACACAAGTTTGCATGCCACCTTGTACACAATAGGTTCACAATTTGAAAATTTCAGGGAAAATTGAAAGTACATGGACGCTCGACATGAGCGTGCAACGGCACCGTACGAGTACTCGAAGTTCATACTCTGCCGATTATTTTGCATGTACGCGTCTCTCACTTTTAGCGCCATGGCGTAAAAACCGAGGCTACTGTCTCCAAACATTTGGTCCAAAACAGCGATGGTTCACCTATAACGCCATGGCTTTATATGCGCGGAAATACGGTAACGCAGCGCTGGCCAAAGAAATCCAACCTCATGAATAATGTAGCACCGCGTTCGAGTGCACAGACCAGTGTGCGTAGTAGTACTACTAGGGCTGCGTCGCGCCCGGCAACGCTATTTTATTCATGAGGTTGGGGATTTCTTTGGCCGGCACTGTAGTGTAAATGTGCCTCAGTACAACTACAAGGGCAGTGCATTTGCATGCATGTCAAGTTTGACTGTCCGTCAAGACACTAACTGGTAGATGGGTGTAGCACGGTCCTCCATCGGACTGCTGCTCTTGCGCGACAACAGCTGATCAACCGTTCTGCACAGCAACGACAAGCCAAAAAAGTCAGAGAAAGACGCAACGTCTTCGTGAACGGCAAACGGAGCCAGGCAGGAGCATAAGAGGATATGCAATACACGCCACATAGTAGTATGTTTGTCACTCAAAGTTCTCCTATATATGGGGTTTCTGTAAGCACGTAAACCAAAAATGGGCATTTTGCCACTCAGTTAGCTCCCATATGGCAGATCTGACGCCATTGCATACGCGTAGTAGCAAAACGCATAGCAAAGGCACGCAACACACAACACAACGCACCAACATCAAACACACACACACAAGACATGCCACTTACTTTGCTATGTCCAGTCGATAATTGCATGAGATCTGCAAGCCCAAAAATGGAATTCACAACCAAACACCAAATTACAATCATTGGCAAGAACATTGAACAAGTCACCAAGTGTCAACATGGGACAACAATGACAAGACATTGAACAAGTCACCAAGTGTCAACATGGGACAACAATGACAAGACATTGAACAAGTCACCAAGTGTCAACATGGGACAACAATGACAAGACATTGACCAAGTCACCAAGTGTCAACATGGGACAACAATGACAAGACATTGAACAAGTCACCAAGTGTCAACATGGGACAACAATGACAAGACATTGAACAAGCACCAAGTGTCAACATGGGACAACAATGACAAGACATTGAACAAGTCACCAAGTGTCAACATGGGACAACAATGACATTGAACAAGTCACCAAGTGTCAACATGGGACAACAATGACAAGACCTGTCCAGTCACCAAGTGTCAACATGGGACAACAATGACAAGACATGTCCATACATGGCATTTAAAGACTATAAAGCCAGCTCAATGGGTGCCGAAGATTGTCAACTACTTAAACAGCCATGAGCCTGATATTATTATTTGTGCCCAATCTGCATCACAGTCAAATACAGAATGCACAAGGTAACAGAATAACAATGGTCACAAACCTGACTGCTCTGGATGGGAAAGAGACGATGAGGCTCACGGGCAACTCTATCGAGTCGTTCCGTCATGTCCTGCAAACCACCAGCACACACACAGTCATACACCAACCATACCAATTAGACACATACAGTCATACACCAACCATACCAATTAGACACACACAGTCATACACCAAGCATACCAATTAGACACACACAGTCATACACCAAGCATACACCAATCATATACATGTGGTATTGTCATGTGCATAGGCAGCTCACCAAGCACCGCAACAACACAATGCATAATCATGCGGGCCACAATCCATGCACAAAACTGCAATGAGTAAGCCAGGGCAGGTTGTATCCAACAAAAAGAGAAATAGATAGATAGATAGATAGGTAGATAGATAGAGTGTGTGTGTATGTGTGTGTATATGTGTGTGTATATGTGTGTGTGTGTGTGTGTGTGTGTGTGTGTGTATGTGTGTGTGTGTGTGTGTGTGTGTGTGTGTGTGTGTGTGCCTGTGTGTGTGTCTGTACACATGTGGGTTCGGCAGGGAGAAGTACCTACATTGACCAAGTCGAGAAATTCGTAGCGATTCGTCGCACTAGAAAACACATTACTGGTCTCCAGAGCCGCCTGCAATCCGACAACAGAACACAGGAGAAGAGTGTTGATAAATAGTAACCCTCCGGAGTTTCACGACTGCCACTGGAGCCATTGCCTCTAGTCACTGCCAGCAACAGCAACAGCGTCAGGACGACAGGAGTACCAATGGCATTGGCATGCCTCTTACCTGGATTACTGGACAGGAGTCACGCAAGTCTCCGAGCTGGCGCCGGAACAGGCGCACTTTGTCGTGCTTTTGCCTGAACAGAGTACACACGGACGCATGCACACACGCACACGGACACACACAGACACATACATGCACACACGCACACGGACACACACAGACACATACATGCACACCGTGGTGTAAGACACACAACTTCCACGACATTGCGCTCGAGCTCACTTATTTGCGAGAACTTTCCAGGAAGCCCAGCAGTGTGAAAATCGGTTAATCAGAACTAAAACTTTGCCCGAAATAAGGCAAGAAAGCCGGTATTTATTATTCACCTGCCGACTCTGACTGGTGGTCAATGCATGGGTTTCAATTCCGCTCTGCTACATACTGTGCACATGCACAGGGCTGCTCAATGAAATCCAGTCAATGCACTCACGTACGTGACGGGCGTTGCGCAGCCCTAGACCTGCGAACACTGGGGTTCGACATGGTGCAAGGCGCAAACTTGAGTGCCGCGACTGGATTTCATTGAGCAGGACTGTACATTGCGCAATGATCAGAGAATCAGACGCACAGAGAAACTCTCTTTGCCTTGATAGCTACTAGTACTCACTTCTCCACCATCTCGATGAGAGAGACCTTGCGCTGTGTGAGTTGTTCCTGCCAATGAGTATAGAATAAACATGCAATGAACACAACAGTGGTCTGAGCGCGAGGAGCTGATAGATGATAGTGAAGAGGCAAGAACAGTAGTGGACATGCACACGCGCGCGCGCGCGCGCGCGCACACACACACACACACACAGTGACACACACACACACAGTGACACACACACACACACACACACACACAGTGACACACACACACACACACGCACACACACACACACGCACACACACACGCACACACACACACACACAAAACCCCATAGATACACTAGACAACTCCTGGAACGCCGTACACTAGTACATACCATTAGCTCAGTGAGCAACTCATCAATTGTATCTTTACACGTCGTTGCATTGAGCTGAGTTTCATCTACTAAAATTTCTACTTTCCCAATGGCCTCCGCGACAGATCGATCCAGCTGTTGTAATTTCTGGACAGCGAGAAGCACAGCAAAGGCAACAGCAGCGCCAATGAGACAAGGTCAGATGACCTGATCGTGGAGCTCTTGATCATACGCATGCCATAGACATTCACAATGCAGGGATAGTACGCTGCTAGCCAATGCATTCCACGCGCTGGTTGCATTCTTCGACAAATATACTTTCAAAGCCGATGGCAACCGATCCTTGCAAGAATCTTACTAGAAGCAGTTCACAGAATACGGGAACCGGGGCCGGCCCGACTATCATCACCAAATGGGCTATGTCAGAACAAATCAAACAAAGCGATATAATATGCTGATGTATTATGATCATATTGAATACATGGATGGAAGCAGAACTTACAACAATGGCGGTTTTTAATTTGGCAGAGCTCTTTGCATACGCGCTCTCGATGTCCATGCACTGGGACCGCGTACCGCTGGGAAGATGGAGAATGATATACAACCGACACGGAGAGAAAAGAGAGGGAGAAAGAGCGAGTGTGTGTGTGTGTGTGTGTGTGTGTGTGTGTGTGTGTGTGTGAGAGAGAGATAGAGAGAGATAGATAGATAGAGAGAGAGAGAGAGAGAGAGAGAGAGAGAGAGAGAGAGAGAGAGAGATAGAGAGAGAGCGTGAGGCACACAAGAGATCAAACCACCCTTGCAAAACAACCACTGCACGTAACAACACATTCCACCAGCAATATACACACATGCACGCTGAAGTCAAGATAGGACAGGTCCCACACATAACAGCGTGCCATCTCGGAATATACAGTTTCAATCGTCATCACTACCTGTGCCTGTTTGAAGAAAGCCTGCCCGACAAACCCACAAGGCAGCAATGCAACAATATATCGGCAAGAACATCATGTCATCCAACCTACCTGTCCATGTCCCGAAAACAATTGATGCATATTAGACGACGGTCTTCAACAGAAAACATAATAAATAACTTGTCGTGGACAGCTGCAGCGGAGAAGAGCCACCAAAGACAACGCACAAGAGAGATAGAGGCACAGGAGATAGAAGATAGATAGAGAGAGATAGAGAGAGATAGAGAGAGATAGAGAGAGATAGAGAGAGAGAGAGAGAGAGAGAGAGAGAGAGAGAGAGAGAGAGAGAGAGAGAGAGAGAGAGAGAGAGAGACACACACACACACACATAGGAGATAGAAATAGATGGATAGGTAGGGAGAGAAACACGCATAGAAAGAAAGAAAGAGAGAGAGTAGCACAAAGAGAAGAAGAAAATTACAGTTATCCTACCCTGCCGCAGAGTTGAATGCTCCTGAGACTACTTGTGGCCATCACCTGATCACCCAGTCTACCAACATCACCATGATCACCTAGTCTACCAACGTACATAGCAAACTACACATACCCAGCCAAGAGCTACATGTGCATATGTACATGCACATGTACAGCATTTATTTATTTATTTATTTATTACAGCAGCTCATAGCACAGTGAGAAGACCAGCCAATACAAAGAGAGAGAGGGTGTTAGCCAACCACGGCAAGGAAGGGCATTGTCTCCAGGTCATCGCGTTCTCTCACTGCTTGTGCGTTGTGTGACAAAGCAAGACATCTACAGCGCCCGCAAATTCACGCACAGATTCCCCCCCCCCCCCCCACACACACACACAATTCATACTTTATTCCCCAGGCCAGGAATTTAAAAAAAAAAGCACCACAGGACAACATTGCAGTTCACAGGCACACGTCAAGCATATCATGTGTATTATACAGCACACTGTGCACGTACGACATGACATGGGCTGTGAGTCGCGCGACCGGTTCTCCAGCAGGACAATATTGTGCGAGGAGAACATCTTGGCGGCGTGCGTGCTGAAGCGACATGACTGGCAGAGCGGCTGGCAGCACGTGTGACAGAAGTGAGTGGATTGCGACGGCTGCAGGCATAGAGCAATAAGAACCAAAACTGAGTTACAATATAATAACGTGTAGGGGCACGGGGAAACGGAGTAGGCTATCGTAAAAGTCCGTAGATAAGTACCTGCACGAAATAAATACCGTAAAACATGTAATTTTAGGTGGATTAAAACATGTAATTTTAGGTGCATTAAAACTTCGGTGCCAGGGACCTGCCAGGTTTCAGGTGTATTTAGAATTAGGCCAGCTTTCCCTTCACATACAGTGCATACTCTAGTGCCTTTTCGGTGTAATGTAAAATTTAGGTGCCTGGTTTCTCTACCGAAATCACCGGAATTAAAGCTACACTGAAAATAACATGTTTTACAGTACCACACCCTTCATCCTTTTGACTCTGTCTGTTGAAGTCAAGTCAAGTCAAGTCCGATAACCATACCGCCCGAAATAAGTACACCGGTACGGTGCGCACATGCAGCACGTAGCATGTACATCTACACGGAAATGACTTCTTCACTACGCACAGGTAAGGTCCGAAAGTTAGTTCCTGCCCGAAAGTCAGTACCCACCCGCAAGTGAGTACGGGTGTGGCCACTAAATTCGAAAGCAAGTACATACTTATATTACGGACTTTTACGGCAATGAAACTTGTGCCCCAAAAGCTCAACTGATGAAGGGTGAATTCTACGAAACACTATGTATTAAGCAGGGAATGGTGCTTTTTTGCAGGTTCGATGGACTACCAGTACACGACTACTTCGAAGTACAGCCCCCAAAGCAACTACATCTAAGTCCATGTCCATACTACTCAGCTTAAACAATTCAAATCTAGGATATTCGCAGTGAAGAGACCGTTTTTGGAGAGTTGGACAAGTGAAGAGTTAATCAAGAATCTAGTAACATTACAGCAAGCAGTGAAACATCCAGTTGCATAGGATGCCAGGGTATGAGCAATGGCACGCACCTTTTCACAGTTAGCGCATTGTACATTATCTTCGCCAGTGGAGTGCAGTAGGTGCTGCAACAGCCTGTCGTCCTTCAGGTCGGCTAGACTACATTGCGCCCTAACGAGACACATACACGCACGCGTACACACAAACACACATACATGCAGATACACACACATATACATGCAGATACGGTCAGCCTTTGGGTCATCGTTAGTATTATTGTTATACACACACACACATACACACACAAACACACACACACACACACACACACACACACACACACACACAAACACATATACCACACACACACACACACACACACACACACACACACACACACACACACACACACACACACACACACACACACAAGACCATAGACAAGTGGGCTTCTAGCGTAGGTTTCCACATGCCAGTCACACACGCTTCCGAGTTCAAACCCGGAGCAAGACTGCCATTGATATCCTACAGTACAATCTTATGACATCTGTGCTCACTTTAACACTTACTTGCACTACCATACACTGTATAGCGTTTACAATACAGACAGACACGCCAACTGGCATGCTGTCACTTGTCGACTGTGCAATTGTGTGTGTGTGTGTGTGTGCATGTGCGCATGTGTGTGTGTGTGTGTGTGTGTGTGTGTGTGTGTGTGTGTGTGTGTGTGTGTGTGTGTGTGTGTGTGTGTGTGTGTGCAATCCCAGCACAAGCTGCTATGGCTTCTGCTGTAGCATCGCTATCATCGCCTCCGGCGATGGGCGTCCAATGGTCCAATGGTGTGTGTGTGTGTGTGTGTGTGTGTGTGTGTGTGTGTGTGCACGCATGTGTGTGCAAACAGTGCGGTAAATGTATACGGCAGACCAGTGTTGTTGACACGAACAGCAATCCTCCTACTTGCCATCATCTCAGCAGCACCATGCACGGAGTAATAGCCACAGTGGCACGATATTTCCAATACCAACGCGTTCTATACAGTCATAAAACTGCAAATCAGGATGATTTCGTGCTCAGCAGTCAAGGCATGGAACAGAGGCGGCCAGAAACAACGCTCACACACCCACACGCACAAGGAAGTGCCGGTACTGTACCAACCAGTAATACTGTCACATGCAATACTACCCTTTGCTGCGGCCGCGCGTTCCGCATGACCGAAACAAACCCCAAATAATTGTGTGCCAAATTCGGATCGACTAGAATATCACAATAATAATAATATTGTTAGTGCCACTGAGTATGAAATTCGAAATACGTTACTCACTGGCAGTTAGGGCAGGTCACTGTGCTGTCCTGTGTAACCAACTGGACGCATCCATCGCACACCGAGTGGAAACAAGTCGGGAAAACCTTTGGATCCTGATATCTCTCCTTGCAGACAAAACAAATGAAGGGATAACTGGCGGCAGGAGGCGTTTGTGTCGAGTCACTTGTCATAGGGAAGGCCCCAGCAGCTCAGCAAACGAGACGAATGTGGCCTGGTTTTCTACACCAGGTACGAAACGCAAATCACACGGCTGAGGGGTAACGACTACGAGGTCCACGTTGGCACAAGAAGAGACATAACAACAATACTTGTCTTGAGTGCAGAGAAGAAGAGAAGGTCCTGACATGGGTTGTCGCAAAACACCTCACTCACGATCACGCTCAAGTCAAGCACATCGACATCCACTTTTGTCTTTCAAAGCACACGATCTACGTGCGTGCATGCAGCTCAGCGCCTTTGATCATGGGCGCGGATTTGACGCTGTCTCCCCAGTGATAAATCAATATCCATCAGTTTATATGGATTTTCGGGGCATATCTTGAGTCTACAGTCATGATTCCGAAGTTTCGAGCATAAAATCGATGTTTCCAGCGATTTTGGGTGCAGAGGGCATCCAGTACTGTTGAGTGTTGTTGAGGGTCTTCACGTGAACACATTGGTTCTGCTTTCGAGTATTCACGCAATTTTCAGTTTCAAGGAACTAGAAGTAGAAATCCTTTGGTTCTTCGAAAATGGAGCAGGACGTTTTGTCACTGACGAGTTTGGACGACATCAAGAAGATGTATGATGCAATTGAACAAGAACAGGTTTGTTTGCTTCGCCCGTTTTCGAATTTTATAACTATGAAAATCGACAATTGAAAAAAATTGAAATCATCTTGTATTGCTTTATTCTAGTTGTTCCCCTGTGCAGTCATGTGCTGAAAGCTAACTGATTCATGCCAGTCAAGTTTGACTGCGATAACTAATACTTGCCCAACATCCCTTTCCGCACATGCAATGAGTTTTAGCTGCATAATACATATCACATAGCACATTGACCATTGGCATGATGCCCTGTTCCTTGGTGCGGCATGGCGATAGGGGATGGCTGCAGTAACTGTTCGAACTTCAGGTTCCATGCACTCCTGTACGGTCAGCCAAGCACAGACAATGAGATGCTGGAATGCCATCACGCGTGACAAGCTTTAGGGTGGTGTTCAGACGTGTTCCGGGTCACCACCGCAATCTATCACCACGATTGAATTTGGCTGAACATGAAGCTATGTGTGGCTAGGTTAGCCTTACGGTATCATTACTAGTATTTGTGTGTGTGTTTGTGTGTGTGTGTGTGTTTGTGCATGCGTGTGTGTGTTTGTGTTTGTGTGTGCATGCATGCATGTGTGTGTGTCTGTGTGTATCTGCGCACGCCCGGTGGTGTGTGCATGTTCCCGCAGCAAAAAGCAATGCGCGACTTGCGGAATCTCCTGGGAAGTCGTGCTCAGGTGGATGTGCAAATGACAAAACTGCAAAAGATCATGTAGGTGCTCTTTGCCGCAATTATTGTCACTTGTCATAACTAACTAATGCTATAGTGCAAGTCTTGTTGTTGTTGTTGTTGTTGTTGTTGTTGTTGTTGTTGTTGTTGTTGTTGTTGTTGTTGTTGTTGTTGTTGTTGTTGTTGTTGTTGTTGTTGTTGTTGTTGTTGTTGTTGTTGTTGTTGTTGTTGTTGTTGTTGTTGTTGTTGTTGTTGTTGTTGTTGTTGTTGTTGTTGTTGTTGTTGTTGTTGTTGTTGTTGTTGTTGTTGTTGTTGTTGTTGTTGTTGTTGTTGTTGTTGTTGTTGTTGTTGTTGTTGTTGTTCTCTTCCATTCTATGTAGGCATGTGCACTTTCATAAAAAAAATAATAATAAAAAAAGAAAAAGTGCTGATGTGGAGAGATAGCTACTTTGGTGTTTGCAAACTTTTCAAAACGCTGGTGTGGGCTCCTCCCTTGTTGGTGAATCGGAGGCTCGTCTTGCGCCAAACCAAGTCAGGCCGGAATCCACAGCTGGACAGCGGCACTTGGTTTGGCTTGTTTCGGGGAACACAGCCGCATGCTGTGTGATCCGTGGTGTTGGACAGTGAGACCAGTGATGTTGGACCAGTATCAGTTGTGTTTCTTTCACCTGTACATCATGTAGTTGTAATAAGCTGAGCAATGCGCGGTCCATTACATTTACTGCCTCAGCCTGTCCACGCTTTGTCTGTGTGTCTCTGTCTTTGTAGAAAACCAGTAGAAGATGGTATGTGTACATGTAATAGCGCAGGGGCGTCGCACACGGTACGGTCACTACGGTATTGACCGTACCACTTTTTGCCCCAGATACCCCGTGAATCAACAAAATACACTGATCTGGGATCTAAAATTCCAAATTTTCGGCTCAACCACCACTCCCCCACGAGTAAATTGTACTTCAGATGGCTGACCGTACCACATTAAAATACCTACCGACGCCCCTGTAGCGTGATAACTAGGGGTGAAAGTTGGCATTGAGATCCCGAGTTC